AAGCATTATCGGACATATTTTTTTCAGAAAATTTGTTCTGATTGATTTTAATTCTTAGTTTATATACATATAAAATGGAGCATGAATTATGAACAGCCAAACTATTTTCACGATTCATGCAAAATAAATTTGACAACAATTAAATTGTTCACATAATGAACTCTCTTATCTACGTAATGTACGTATACAAATTAGTTATATAAACTATTCTTTGCAAACTGATGTGATTACCCTGCATGATTGACGAATTATCTACACCAGTTTGTATGGATGAGTTTGTATATGTAGTAAACCCTTATCAAAAAAGCATAAAACTCAATGAATAAACCCTCGATCTTCTGATAATTGATTCAGCATAGACCAAGTTACATTTTTCTCCCAACAAATTCATTAAATTAATTTACTTCTGCAAGAAAGTTTAAAAGAAATATAAGTAATTTTACTTTAATATAATTACTATCATCAATATAACTGCAAAACGTACATGTTATATATATATATAATATATATATATACATACATTAAAATTCTCAGGTGCGGACGTTAAATTTTCATCTCTTGACGGGTGATAATCTGTTAGTAGACTTTTTGAATAAGAATGTTCAAGGCAATTTCTTCGTTATCTCCTTCTTCTGGTGAACTGTAAACGCACCAACAATCGATTACATCACCGGATTTATAACCATTTTCTTCAAGAATTTCCACCCACCCAGTCTTCCACAGCATGAAGTTACCAAGAGTATCCTGTCTGCGAGATCTCATGGGGACTTTGCACTTAGAAACCTTTGGAGTATAAAGCGTAGCAAGAATCGAACCTTCTCTTGATAATTCATTTCGCATCGACTGAGGAAGAGTGTTCATGAAAAACGTTTTCGATTCTCCGGTGAACAGTAAACCTCTCTGTGTATCTGTTTGTGTTAATTTTTTCCTGAATATGTGTTCCAATTCTCCAGATTTAGGGTAGTCTCGGATTTGGTTTGGCAGAGGAATCATGTTCTCCATGATTTTTAGCTTTCTTTTGTATTACTTGAATGATTCAGATGATGCAGATGAAGGATAATTCATATACTGTAGTTTCATGCAAAATAAATTCAGTAAGAATATTGTTGCTCAACTAACAAACTCATGTTTTCAAAGTGTTTCCTTATGGATAAAAAATATGAAGTAAAATTGCGGTTGTCTGTTATTCTATTTGGATTAAAAAATAGAATACGTATGATCATTATTCTAAACATTAATTTAAATTAAATAAGATTTTTTTTTATTAAAAATGAAAAAATGCGGTTAAGCAAATTTAATTTGTAATACCTTTTCAACCAGAAGGCTAAATTCTTCTTCTTCTCCAACTCCTTCCTGTGGCTTGTGGTGTATACACCAACAGTTAATCTCATCGCCATATCTTAAACCAAGCTTTCTAACCCATGCTTGCTTAAACGATACACTGAAACATGGTAGCCTTCCACGCATATTTCTTCTCATTGTCACTTCAAGATCATCGACATTTGGCGCGTAAACCTTCACCGATACACCGTTTTTTACGAACCGTTGTTGCAGAGACTCCGATACATTGTTCCGAATAAATTCATTTCCTCGGTTCAGAAACGCGATACTTCTTTTCAGATCTTCTGTCTCTGTTATTTTTTTCGAGAATAAATGGTTTAACTTCCTATCTCGAGGGTAGTTCTGAATTTTTTGGGGTAGAGGAGGATCATTACTTGCCATGCTATACCTCTTTTAAAAAATATTTTTCTAGAATAATATATATATGATTATTAATTCTTAGTTTTATTTATATACGTAAGTACTTCAAATCTGGGATGAATTAATTTGACAAACTATTTGCATGATTTTGATTCATGCCAAATACAAATTCAATTGCTCAACTAAATAAAGTCACGTAAAATTAACCCTAAGGGATTGGCTTGACGGTCAAGAAGATTTGCTCTCTTCTTTGAATTCTTCATAAGTTCAAACCTTGAGGCTACCTACCATAACAATATTATGGTTTACCTGATCCTTTGGGCTTATAAGGTGTTTAATGGATCACAATGATTAGTTAAGGTGCGTGTAAGTTGGCCTAGACTCTCCCATTATTGAAAAAAAAAAAAAAAAAAAAAAACAATGCTACCTTATCCTTTGGGTGGGATGAATTTAGGTACATATAAGCTGATCCGGACAACCCGGTAAAAAAGAAAAAAAAAAAAAAAAAGTCACATAAAAGTGATTGAACCCTAAGCCTTTACACCGTCCTTGTTCTGTGATTTAATTTTCATGGACTCAGGTAAAATACTCATTAAATAGGTATTTGCTTCCTTACGGAATCGTAAACCCATATCTATATCTGATTTTGCAGAAGTACTAGGGGGAGACTAACATTATATATCATGTAAAACTCTCTTGATGTTGAAGGAATACACCAACGGATATGTAATCACCCGAAATATATTTGCAGTGAATATATCTGTATTCAATTCTTACCTTCTGAATAAGAATGCTGAGCTTTTCTTCTACACCATGTCCAGGGGGATGGAATGGTGGCTTTGGCTGAGAAGCACACACCAACAGTATATTTCATCGTCCATTACATATCCATTTATTAGATATAGTTTATACTTCTCTTAGTCTTGACGGATTATCGGTTTACAATGACTCATTGGGAGGTCTCGCTTGGCTTATGACAACTCATTTGGTTTATACTAATATTTGGGTCCAGCCGGATTAGATTTAGGTAAATCTAAATGGGGTTAGATTTTTTATTATATATATTTTGTAATAACGATAAACCTAGAGTGTGAAAAATAAGGAGTGAGAGTGAACTACTGTCATCTGCTTTGTATTTGCTGTTGAGTTTTGATACTCAATAAAATTTCCTATTTGAATGGTAGATGTAATTCCTTTATTGGAACGAACCAGGGTAAATCATGAGTTCTTTATTTTCTGTTTTCTTTGTTGTGTGGTTTTGGTTGTGGTTTCAACACCATTGTTGTCAAACATTTCAAGCGCAGCAGCTTTCGAACGGACATAGAATTGATCATCTTCAACCTGTGTTTATCGTTACATTAAGAAGGCACCAGCCGGTGTAAACACCATAATCTTGACACCAACGTTTGATTTTAAGTGATCTAGCATGGAGTAGTTAAGAATCCTGGAAATAGTTTCCGATGAGTCGACCATCGGTTGTATCTGATGGTGTTATGGTTTCTTGCGAGTATACTACGGTCCCTGCTTGACGATTCTCCCATCTGATTTCAGTTGGCAAAGGAAAAGCATTATCGGACATATTTTTTCAGAAAATTTGTTCGTTGATTTTAATTCTTAGTTTATATACAATAAAATGGAGCATGAATTATGAACAGCCAAACTATTTTCACGATTCATGCAAAAAATTTGACAACAATTAAATTGTTCACATAATGAACTCTCTTATTACGTAATGTACGTATACAAATTAGTTATATAAACTATTCTTTGCAAACTGATGGATTACCTGCATGATTGACGAATTATCTACACAGTTGTATGGATGAGTTTGTATATGTAGTAAACCCTTATCAAAAAAGCATAAAACTCAAGAATAAACCCTCGATCTTCTGATAATGATTCAGCATAGACAAGTTACATTTTTCTCCCAACAAATTCATTAAATTAATTTACTTCTGCAAGAAAGTTTAAGAAATATAAGTAATTTTACTTTAAATATTACTCATCAATATAACTGCAAAACGTACATGTTATATATATATAATATATATATATACATACATAAATTCTCAGGTGCGGACGTTAAATTTTCATCTCTTGACGGGTGATAATCTTGTTAGTAGACTTTTTGAATAAGAATGTTCAAGGAATTTCTTCGTTATCTCCTTCTTCTGGTGAGCTGTAAACGCACCAACAATCGATTACATCACCGGATTATAACCATTTTCTTCAAGAATTTCCACCCACCCAGTCTTCCACAGCATGAAGTTACCAAGAGTATCCTGTCTGCGAGATATCCATGGGGACTTTGCACTTAGAAACCTTTGGGTATAAAGCGTAGCAAGAATCGAACCTTCTCTTGATAATTCATTTCGCATCGATGAGGAAGAGTGTTCATGAAAACGTATTCGATTCTCCGGTAAACAGTAAACCTCTTGTGTATCTGTTTGTGTTAATTTTTTCCGAATATGTGTTCCAATTCTCCAGTTTTAGGGTAGTCTCGGATTTGGTTTGGCAGAGGAATCATGTCTCCCATGATTTTAGCTTTCTTGTATTACTTGAATGATTCAGATGATGCAGATGGAGGATAATTCATATCTGTAGTTTCATGCAAATAAATTCAGTAGAATATGTGCTCAACTAACAAACTCATGTTTTAAAGTGTTTCCTTATGGATAAAAAATATGAAGTAAAATTGGTTGTCTGTTATTCTATTTGGATTAAAAAAATGAACGTATGATCATTATTCTAAACATAATTTAAATTAAATAAGATTTTTTTTATAAAAATGAAAAAAGAGGAGGACTTGTTTTATATCCTATTTTATTAACTCAAAAACATTTTTCTAATTCTAATAAACTAAAAACAATACCTTCACTCGTCCCAATATGAAAATTAATCCACCCAAGACCACCACCCTTGCCAGCAACCACCGCCCCCACTTGCCACTCTAGAATGACATACAATCGACCGATCTGGCTGCTTAATGTCGCGGATTGTTTAGACCAAATTGACGCATGACCGATCAGATCCAGTTGATGTGCACATTTCAAGATTATCGACTACCGTTTGACGAACTAACATGGCTTGGATGGGTGAGATTGTTTTTTTTAATTTTTAAACTTTTATGTATGAGAGGGTTAGCTAAATTAAAAATATAAGAGTTAAAAAAATAATCCAATTGTTTTCTAAAAATGTACCAAACAATTTTCAGTATTTTATCCAATTCTAATATAATTTTCACATATTATAACAAAAAAATTCTCAGAATCATTATATTCGATTTAATCTAACTCAACCCAACTTAAAATAGTTTGCGGAATAACATTTTTCAAGTAATTGCCATTATAGTCACGAGTACACACTTATAGAAGCATTGCTACTTGAAACAAAATGATTCTTCCATTAGGCTGTATGATTTGAGAGCTTCAAACAAAATTTAAATTTATCTGATTGCTTTGCATGAAGAACGAGCTAAAGAAAAAGAAATTTAATAGCCCACCGACGGATGGGTACAACGCGTTTCTGCAGCTTGTATAAAGTACTTGAACCTTCTCCAAGTAGCCCATCAAACCTGTTATCCAGCGCAGGGCAAAAACGGTGGCAGTCAGGAAACCGGCATAATTCCACTGTTTCATCTGATACAGACCACCACATAGGAAAGTGTCCAACTTCTACAATCTATAACCCCGGAGTGAGGCTTCAACAACATAAATCCTCCGGACACTTGTTCCTGAGACGGGTGGAATGCTATTGGTCTGTATGACCAAACCAACCCGGAAAAAACACTAGTATGTAATACTGAGATCTATCTCTCTATAACACGCCTGCTGTTTCTAAATTCACCAGCATCACCAGCATCCTTATCATATTTGTAAGACCTTCCGTGCTGTGGATTTCATATCCTTCTCGTTTAGGCCCCTGAAATTCCTTGAATCACGCCCTCTTCTAAATTCACCATCATCCTTATCAAATTTGTAAGACCTTCGTGCTGTGGATTTCCATATCTTCGTTTAGGCCCCTGAAATTCCTTGAATCACGCCCTCTTCTGGAAGTCACCATCATCCTTATCAAATTTGTAAGACCTTCCGTGCTGTGGATTTCCATATCCTTCTCGTTTAGGGCCCCTGAAATTCCTTGAATCACGCCCTCTGTCATTCATCCCCCATTTACCATTGCTATCCTGCCGAGGTCCTCTATTATTACCACGGGACGCCTGAGAAGATCTATTAAAACCATCTTCGGAAGACTTCCTTCTGTCACCCATCTTACCATTGGATCTGAACTGTGTATCTCTAACAAATTTATAATCGCCATCACCTTCAAAAGTTTTTCCTCTTCTACCGGATTCTATCTTGTTCCCTCCAGGTCTGTTTCTACGCCAGCGGTCATCAGTGTCAGATTCTGAACCAGAAAATGAATCATCCTCTGTATCGGAACTGATTTTACTCTGAAAACGCCTACCAGAAACTGGTTTGTTTCCTTTCTTTTGGCTGGATCTAAAATTCTCCTCTAAATCATCATCTGCATCTGAATTAAGATCAAATTCTTCATCTGAGCCAAAACTCAATCCCTTAGACGAACCTGTTGGACCTCTACCTCTACTTATATGTCTAGAATCAGCAACATGACTGGATTTCCAGTTGGGATGAACTGAAAGCTGGTCATCAGTATCAAAACCCAGTTCATCATTCTCAGAGCCAGAAAAACCTGCTTTTCTACGCATGGGTTTAGACCGGCCATTATAAGATGGAGAGCTTTCCCTGCGGCGAGCATAAAAATTATCAGAGCCCCTATCTTCAACTTCAGAAAAATCATTTGGAGAAGCTTTCCTCAGTGAATGATTATTCTGAGTGTCTATCTCATAACTGTCAATATCATCTTCGTCATCATCAAAATCATCAAACCCCATTCTAGGCCTGTTACTATCAACATCAGAAAATTCTCTCTCATTGGTCCTTGGGAACCTGCCAGCTCTATCGAAATCATCCTCATGACCTCTAAAATTTCCTTCATGAGCCAAACTACCTAAAGGAGAGTCTTCACCCCTTCTTGGAGAATCTGCATACTCGAAAGCAGCAACATCTGCCCCATCTGATTCATCATCATCGAAGTCAAAGTTCCAGGCATTTGAAACCTCTGGTCGGCGGGCAATCTTCTCTGATCTCATTTCAGGATCACGTCGCTTCTCTAGTATTTTATTATCAATAAATTCATCTGGTGGACGTTTGCAATCACAATGAAAACATGCCATATTTCTTCTATAATTTAAGAAGTTGCACCTGTGATAGCATAAAACCACCAATAAGCGAACAGATCACACAACCTATGATTGAATCTGGAAACTCTTTCACATATATTAATCCAGCATGACATGACACAATCCTGGTTACCACAAGCAAACTCTATACTTTATAGCATCACCAATCATACATTGTATGCATGTTTTCAAAACCACTTGTTATAGAGTTGTAGCAAAAAAAAAAAAAAAAAAAAGAGAGAGAGAGATAGGAAAATAAAAAAAACTATGCAATGGAAACTTACTCGGGGCATTCCCATTCTCCTGGAAGCAGCTGTCTCTTTGGCCTCTTAGCATCACATTGTAGGCACACCGTATTCTTTGCAAAGTTCAGGAAATCACACCTGAGACCAACATTCTGCACTTTTAGTAAATCACATTTTAAAAATATTTAACATCTGGAAACACTATCCCTAATGCAGGATTCAGAATTGGCTTTTAGACAACTCAACAAAAAGCCTATAATATGCCTACACCTAAGGTCCATAGATAGCAGTTCAATGCATCTCAACCAGGCTGCAGAAAGTAGAAATGTCTTATGAAAGTATTCTAATTAATCATTGTATGTTTACTCTGCAAATTAGCCCCCAAGTAGATTGAAAATAATGAAAAAATGCTCATTAACAAGTCACATACTTGGGACACAGCCAATCTCCTTTTTTCATCTCAACATCATCTCGTCCCACTCGTTTTTTTGGTGGTGTAGGAGGTTGCTTAACTTTTGGAGGAGGCTTCTTTATTACTGGAGGGGGAAGATTCGGATCTATTGGAACAGCACTCAACTTGACAACTTCATGAAGCAACTTACGGACAACATTCTTAACAGACTTCTGTTTGAGAAGGGACTTATTGACCACTGATCCGTTCACAGGATCAAAACCATAAGTCAATAGAACTCGCATAACATCAATGGTACGAGCTTCATCCTCTTTATTTGTAAGTAAATATGCTATTTGACAGGAGCTCCTCAAGCTGCAGGTACTACAGACCTGGTACAGAACAAATTATCATAATTGAAATAACATCTTATGCTCAATTTGATGGTTTTCAATATTCATCTCAGATGTAACAATGCAAATTATGCACATGTAATCAACTGATGAAATCCATGATATATCGTTTGCCTACAGTACTAAACAAGGCAAAAAGTTCCAAAGCAAGAAATTTAAAGATGCAATGAAACCAAACTTAGAAAGAGGCAAGCATCAGAAGCGATTAATCACAAGGTCCGTTGCATGAGTGAACTAAGCATCAAATTTAGGAAAAGAAGTAACAATTACATCTCCTTCATCAAGGTGGGCATGCTTCCTCAATAGCTTTGCAGAAAAAACCACCTTCTTGTCTGCACTTGGGCATCCATAGCCAACCAAAGTTTGAATATCCTGTCTCGACAAGGACCTGAAATCAACATTCTATCTAAGCACATTTCAAGCAAAGTGACATCATTGCAAATTATGCTACATATCAAATGCATTAACATAGTCAGCCATATAATAAAGTTTTCGCTCAAGATTGTTCAGTGAGATTAAAAGCAACCAAAAGGATCAAAATGCTAATGCCATCAACCATTTACACCCATTTTGGTCATCAACTCCACATACACGCCATCAATCTAACATACGTTTATTCTTTCTGCAATTAGCATTCTAAACTAAAACCACAAGTACCAATTCAGAAGCACTTACATAGGTCGTAACTGCAGACATTTAACTAACAATTTTAATCACAACATAACAAGCACTAGCAGAACCAAAACAGTTTCTGTCATTTCAAAATGCAGGATTTTTGAATCTGTATACCTCAAGATATCAAACCGGTCCTTCCCAAAATTAATACAAGCTTTCTGAACAGTCCTGAAATCACTAAAATCAATTCCAGCATCACTCTCCTCAACACCATCTTCAAATCCCAAATCTTTCACCATTTTGTCCTCATCTTTTCTCCTATGATCAAAGTAATTCTGTTTCGCCAATCTCTCCATCAATTCAATCCACTCCGGCCATGGATGAACCAACTCGACCTCCTTCACCTCCTTTCTCACCAATAGTTGCTTTTCAGCAGAATCCCTTTCCGGGCTTTCTTCCACACTAGAAATAACTTCTGGGTTTCGCACCTTTTGGGTGGTTACAGTTTCTTGGTTTTGTTGCTGTTTTGATTGGCGCCAAGCGCGTATCCGTTGTAGAGTGTCGTCGTTTTTTTCTTTTTGCTTCTCGATTTGGTCAATTTGTTCAAAGATGAAGCTCATGCGTGCAGAGAGTGAAGCGGGTTTTGCTTGTGAGTCTAAAGGGGAGGGGTTTGGAGTTGGAAGTGGAGAACTGGAAAAGGGTTTTGTGGTGAAGTAGAGAGAGTTGAAATGGATTTTAGGGCTTTTACTAGTATTTGAAGAAACAGAAATACGTCTAAGGAGAAGAAGAGAGAATGGAGTTTGCGCCATCTTTGAGAGAGAGGCAGGGACTAGGTATGAGCAAAACCCTCCATGAAAATGCAGAATCAGAAATGCCCAAAGCTTAAACCCTGAACCGGAAACGGAAAATTTACTGCCATTGGGCTCTAATGAGGCCCAATTAAAGCCGACGATAACGAAATTTAGGATCCATCAGGTACGGTTTATTTGAATAAAATTTATCGGAGAAACGTTTATAGAAATATAGTTTTTATGAAAAAAAATTATCAATTATTTGGTAAAAAAAATATAAAAGAGTTTTTCTAGTGTTTAATTTACTAGAAAAGGGTTTCAATGTACGAAAATAAATAAAATCAAATATATATAAGCTCTAAAGTAGCTTATGGGTCTTCAATTAGCTATATAATAACTTATTTTAAATCCTATAAACGTTTGTAAAATGTTACTAAACAATCTAAAAAAACACTTCAAAAATACTTGCTCTAAATAAATTCTTTTTATCAACAAATAAAGCCGATCAAATAAACTCCTACAACACAAGAGAGGAGGTTTATGGTCAAAAGATCTATATATATATATATAATGGGGTTTAATCTCGAGACCTAATGAACATTGACACCTTACAAACTCAATAAATAAGATAAATCGCAAATGTGATGACCACCTCTAAAGACTTGAAAAACAAGACCTTTAAGTAACTCACCTATATGACTAAAGTTTTGTCATCCTAAATTATATGTATTTTTTATTGAACAAAACTTGATTCAAACATATTTCAAAATTGTAATTAATAAATAATGAATTAAAATAGAAAGATCTTAATCATACTTTAATACTTTTGATAGTGGTCACAAAAATCACCTTTCGAACTCAACATAATCGGAGTGCATCATTTTCTTATAAATTCTTATTCTATGATAATAATAAAACATATGATCAATTTAACGAATTACAAGAAGTCAAAAACACACAAAAATAAAACTATACAACAGACATCACTGTACATATTTCACTATAAAGAAATATAGGCGTGTGTATATACGGAAGCAGGCCAGCAAGTAAGAGCTCAATTTCAGAACCATTCAATCATACACTTCGGATACAACCCCTTTTCGGCAGCAACTGCAGAAAGACCCTGAAGTTCTTTCTGAACTTTTCGTCTCTCGTAAAACACTGAGCAAGCGAGGGAGGTGCACTTCACTCCGCTTTCCAGAAGCCAGTCTCCGCCTCCACAATGTCGGCATATCTGCAAGAGGATCAAAAGATTTCATAAACGAGTGGGGTAAAATCAGCCATGCAATATAAGCATATGCTAGAACACTTACAGAGGCAAGGTGTTGCATCTCTCTCTCTAGTTTCGAAGTCCTTCCAATTATGGCAGTTGCAGCAGTGGTTTCCTTTCGTGAACATTTATTGCATAGATGGGCTGATGCCTGAACCAATTCGCCGCATAGTATACAATGCTTTGAGAGATAGTAAAAATCAATTCTACTTCGCTGTGGATTTGAAGTGTATACAGGACGTTTAGCAAAAGCATCCCTGCTTGGTCTGGGCATTTCTAGAAACCAGTTGTTCAAGTCAGCACCAACTAGCCCAAATACCCGCTGCAAAGCTGGTATTATCTGTTTGTTGATGTAATATAAATCATTTAATCTATAAGAGGAATCAATGCCCAAAAGATCCAATGGATCCACAACCATATCGACCAGGCGGGCTCCAGGCTGTCCATGAATCACTACATAAGGTACTCGTTCACCATAGCGCGGTTCTGCCCTGGGATCTGTTCTCATTGCTTTGGTAGCCACAATTGCTGCTGGTGGAAGTGATGAAGAAGTCCTTGTGCTGTAGGTACCCAGGCGAACCTCCTTGGCAAATACAAAATCCTGAAGAGACACCCTGCCGGACAGAATCCGTATCCACTGTCGCTGTAAATATGCTTTAACCTGTGTACAACAATAAAAGGCCCCCAAGACACGGCAAATAAGATCCATAAATGAGAAATCTCAGCAGTTTCTCAGAGCAAGTATGAGGGCATTCTCAGTGATTCAAAGGAAAAAAGACCAAGGGCTTCAAAGTACAGAGGAATTTTACCTCAGAAATGTCCTGATGATTGAAAAACTGTCTCAAGGACTGCTCCATCATTTTTGCAACAGCTGCACAAGTATCTCTGCGAACTGTCTCGATGCCTTTAGCATCAAATACGGGTTCAGTTTGGTCTGGGCTCTCATAACTGTAACCAACATACCGCTTTTTAGTTAGGAGGAAGCATGGGTGATATACTTTCTCCATTTTCAAAGTGACCGGATTTGGATTCATTGCAGTTACTGCTGAAGCAATTTCCTGCCCAATTTGAAATGATTCTTTAACAGTCCGCCCTTTGAGAAGGACAAACATGCTGCATGGAACAAAGACAGTTAATCCTATCAAACCTCAAAAACATGTATTAGAAAGTGAGAAGGAAATGAATCAAGAATATATAGCATGACCCTTTTTCTTAGAAAGTTTAGTTCTCCAATCTATAAAGTCCACTCAGAGAAAGAAAATAGGAAAGACTTCAGTTTTACGATATACCTGTCAGTATCACCATATATAACTTTAGCTTTCCATTTATCATTTGAATTTACAAATGAAATAGCCTTCTCTAGTGTTCTACGGCCACACTGAACAATACTGTCAGCAAGCTCTGCACAAGGCATTCGACCACTAAACCCAGCAGCTGTATAACCATATGTCACATTTGCTATCAGCTTCAAAGCAAGCTGTCTTGCATTGAATATCTGGAAGATCATTGAAGAGAATCAAATCATGAAAATATCCATACTTGAAAAACTAGTCACAAATGCAGGTCCATCAATGTCATTCTATGAAACAGCGAAAATATGCACAAACACAAGGGAGGAAAGGAGTTTAAGAATATACTTAATAATTAGCTTATATTTAATAATATACTTAATAATACTTAATAATTAGAGGAAAGAACTCTAAATCAGATCATTAACAATATTTAAGAATATACTTAATAATTAGCGTATATTTCACTCTAGAGTGTAATACCCTGTGAAGAACTTGCTGAGAAGGAGCCAGTTTCTTCATTGCTTGCTTAACCATTATTCTAGTAGATAATATTTCATCCAACAAGCGAGGAAGTACGCCTTTACGAACCTGTAAAATGAAAATCACATAATCACCCTAAGTTATGACATATTTGGCAGCGGAAAATCAAAAAGAAAAAAAAAATCAGGGAGTTACCTTAGAAGGAACATACATGACACCATTTGGAGTAAGTAGTATTTGATCTTTTAGATCCCGCAAAACATGTGACTCGGGTGAAAAGGAACTAACCCCGAGAGTATTTTCCTTTGAAGGTACAACTTTTCCAAGGCATGTACAAAAGCAAAGGTTATATGCAATTATCATTGACGGATAAAGAGACTGGAAGTCCAAAACAACCACTGGATCTGCAAAAAAACCAGACTCCGGTTCCATTACAAGAGGTAAACACTCCATTGCAGGTTGAGAAGCAACCTGTATACAGAAGCAGTTGCTTAGTGCAGGATAATTAAGTAGGAAACACAATAAGTGAAAACAGTTCAACAATAACCTGATGATTTCCCGGAGATATGGCAAGGTAGTTTTGCGTGTGTGCCAATCTTAGGAACATAGATTCAACACGATATTGTGAACCTCTAGAGAGAACAGAAAAGAAATCAATTCCAAAGACACGAGCAAGTTCCGATGTTCGATTTACCTGCAAAAGCACTCAATTGCACAAAAGAACATACAAGCATTAGTAGTTTGATGGATTTTAAATAAAATGAAAATAAAAAATTAGCAGCTACATGCATTTTTATTTTTATTTTTTATAACCAAGTCTTAAACCGTCTCCATAAAGCAGGATATCATGAAATTGTGTTCTTTGTTAACTAACAACACCGCTTTATGAAGCTCACCAAAGATCAAGTTTAAGTCCTAGACCTGCCCTTCCCCTGGACTCATGAATTATGCAAGGAGATGAAGAAGAAGAAGAATATAAAATTATGATGACACTAAAGTAGCAGATAAGAGCTGTCCACCAAAAATTCAAATTCTTCGATATTGTACCATATCAAGTTGATTCATAATCTCCAGGTTCAATTTTGCTCTCCCCACCACATATTCAACACATCGATACCTTGCTCGTCCAGGACCGCTAGAAAACCATTTTGACAGTACTTTATAAGGAATTGATGGAGTTTTCCGCCTCAAAACAGCTTCTGCTACAGCTTCAACTGTGTACAAATTAAGCTTCACTTCACCACGCATTAACCGCCATACATTGAGGACGATTCTACCGCCAACATGGACTCCACTGGCATGAGTTCGGCCCCATTCATCCTCAACTATAGCATCTTTAAGTATAACAGAATCCTCAATTACAGATTCAGGAACCAGATTATCTAATATTCCCCTCTGAGAATTTTCTAAATTTCCAGCAGCTCTCTTAGATTCTAACGGTGTCCGCGAAATATCATTAAGTAAACCTATACCAAGATGTGCAGCCCTTTCAGCCAAAAAACCAAGAGAACCACCTTGTATGTCCCAGCCCATTAAAATATCCGGATCAAAAGAAGATAATATCTTAATGAAGTGGCTAAATAAGTGTTTCTCCTCAGAGAAAGCAAACACCTTGCAGTCAGGAATTCCATCAAGACTCCTGCAAATTGAAGTAAATAAGTATAAAAAGCTAAAAGGATAATCTTCTCTAAACAGATAATGAATTAGAGGCATAGGACAATGTTTGTGGCATGAATAAAACATTATTTTTTAACTAAGCATAAAACGCCAAAACAAACCGTAATAACTTATATCTTTGGTTTCAAGAGGTTCATAGTTTTTTCATTAAAAAAGTCCAACAATCACTATATACATCAAGTAATAATCATGGTGTAAAACTAACCAAAGGCAAGAGAAACTGTCCACATAAGATTAAATTATCACACCTTTGATAACATTCAATATTACTTCGCAAAAGCACATAAACTTCAACTACTGAATCATTATCATTCTGGAAAGCAAGAGCCACCACATTGATAGCATCATATTGAGGATCAGATCGGAGATCTCCTCTAGATTCTGCTTGAACCTGTCAACGTGTGTTGCACTCAATTTAGAAATCAGTAAAAAACTCCAACCGAAATATTGAGTATACAAGCAGTTGTCATCAACATTTGAGTTATTAAAATTGTTATACATGGCAAAAACCAAGTAGATATATGCTTCAGCAAATAAAGAAAAGGAAAGCCATATATGCCCAATTTTCAAAGAAACTTATAGAAATAAAAGTAAATCCAACTTACAGAACCAAAAAAACAAACATAAACAAAAACAAAAGAAACCATAGATAAGTTCTTTTACCAATATATATATTTACAGTCCCTATATTTGCTATGGAAGATAACAAGGGTATAAAAGGAAGGAAAGGGTTAGCAATCACCAGCTGAACAAACAGATGATCAATAGCCAGAAAAGAGAAGGAAATATTATGACGACATCTTACAAAATGATTTTTACTTTTTTTAAAAGGATGCTCTCTTAAGCCTTAGTTTAAATACAAAATAATGCTATACATGTAAACTTTATACACAAGAGTTTGTACATAAGCTAATGAGATTTGATTCATTTATTGCCAGCATCCTCATCTATGGCATTGAACTTTTTACTCACTATTCCATTCACCATATGTCACACCAAGTAGTCCACTAAAGTTTGTATGTCTGATAAAAGTTTCAATAAAATTTTGTTTTACATATATAAAGTAGAAATTTTTTTGCCAATCTATGAAACATAATGAATCTAAACATATGGGAATATCATTACCTCTACACTTAACAAAGTAAGTTGCTCACCAGCACCAACACTGGCTGGATCCCGGAAGCCAATTTGACTAAGAGGAGTGGGCCTTGATCTTCCATCTGGGCCTGATATCTGAGATATATCTTGCAAGCAATTGGTGCATGCATTTACTTCAGCAGTATGGCCTTCACTCTGCAATATCACTGTTGCCTCATTCCCAACAAGATTCAACTCTGCATTGCTAATTCCAACACTTTCTTGATGCACTTCTTCCAGTACAGGCCTCATGTCGGAACCTGATTCAATCAAATCCTTGTTACAATCGTCATGCAAGAATCTATATGAACTAATCAGATTATTGGAATGGCCTGCAAAAAGGTTTTGAGCTTTCAAAACAGAATTTCCAAAATAGTTTAGCCCAATGGATGAAATAGTTCACCTTTCGGAGATGAAGGCTCCACAGATGCTGCATTTATCAATCCTGAAGTACCTAAAATTCCAGATCCACAATTAAAAATGCAAATTCAAAGATGCTGAAAACAACTGAGCAGTCTATCCAACAAAATCTAGCAGATACCTTCATCATTATGTAATAGCCATCTATACACACAATCCACAGAAGGAGGAGTCAATGCAGGTGTCAGCATGTACAAGCAAGAGCCATCATTTAAATACTGAATTGGAATACCAACCGCAGCTTCTTGTTTATTATTTGGGTCACTTCTGCTCACATAGTTGCCCTGCAGTTCTCCACCAGTACATTTCTCATTCTGCATAGCTATTGTGTCCATGCCCACAAGTTTCTCGTTAGTAATGACATGTACCCTTTCCATGGAAGTTCTACTTTCATGGCCAGGAGAAGTTGACATATGAAAACAGCTTGAACCAGTTCTGTCAGTTTGCTGCAATATCTCATCATCAAAAGGTTTAACCTCAGTATTTAACTTCAACAACTGAACATCAAGTAATGAATCAGATTCAGAAGTGCAGACAGTACAGCTAGTAGCTCCTGTTGAACTCGCACCAGAATTAGACTTTTTACCATTATCAACTTCACGATGGCATAACATAACTGCAGATTTTTCATTCTTTGTGTTAAAAGGCCTTGGTAATTCCTTTTTCCTTTTATCCACTAAAGAGATACCTCCACTAGCTTGTAGCAGGCCTTTGTCATGCTCATCATTTTGTAATATATTTAAGTCCAATTGTTTTGGCAAGAGAGTGATATCTTCTTTTTGTTCCCCTGCCAAAAGTGCTCTTTTCACCCTCATAGTCCCATGTTCAGGTGGCTCAACCCGGTGGCACCGTTTCCTTCTCATTAAGTCACGCAGAGAGAATCCACTTAAAGTAGTTGCTTCCTCTGTATCAGGAGCATCAGCATATTCACTTTTCATTACAACATCAGAACAATTTCCCGTCTCATTACAAGCCAAGAATCTAGTAGCTTCACTGTTCAAACTGACAGGTTCAATGTCATCATTCACCTTTTGGGTTGTTGAAAAAGGTAACGAGCCCCACAAAGTTTTGCTCGTATTATGCTTACTAGAAACGTTTGTGCCAGTATCCCGTGGTACCAAGTGTCGAAAAGACCTTTCAGATTCACTTATAATTTCTTCCTTAGATGAATTTTCAGCTGATCCAGCACAAGGAAGCAAGTACGGATCATCACTAGAACCATCTACTTGTGGGATTTTTTTCTCTGGTGAAGTTTGAGGATGGTTACTGGGATCAAAAGAATCTTCCAGACCATCAAAGTTGGTTACATCCTCAATTGAATCAAGAATGTCCTGCAACTCTCTCTGGGACTCTCTCTTATAATCAGTATTAGCTTTATCTAGTACCTTATCAATGGTTGTTTCAGGCAACAGGGGGCTCAGAATGGTCTCACGAAGAAGATCATCATCAGAATTTATATCTTCAGCAGCCTGAGAAGTAGCAAGCCACTTTAGAAGGTCTAGTAATTCTGTATCTGAAGCCTGCAGAACATGAATTCAGAAAATAAATGAATCCCCAACAGTACATTCAGGAAATATATAAGGCTGAAAAACCTCCACCAACTACAATAACTGCTAATGGAGATCATAACCATAGAAATAAGCATCCATCATCATTTGCAATCTTCACACACTATTTCAATAGTATAACAAAAAAAAAAAAAAAAAAAAAAAAAAAATCAATAATCAATAATCAGAAATAGCAGCAAATACTCCAACTGATGTCAGTATCCATAAGCTAAATTACAAACATTTCACTTTTTATTTAGAAAAATTCAAAAATTGATTACAAACAAGATTCTAATATTGCGTATGCCTAAGGAATTGATCTTGCATTATTTCCTAGTAACTTGACCAAGGCATGTGCAGCATGACCTTTCAAAGCTAGGGTGGCAGAAACGCCATCAACTCACACGTCACTAGTCATTAAAATGGTCATGAGATGCATGTCATTTGTCAATAAAAAATTACTAACACCCAGTAAATCAAAACATGCAAGAAAAAGTACCTTCTGACTCAGTGTTCCTATCATTTGAGATGATTGTATCTCATCAGCAGATGATATTTTGTGGCAAGCATCTATTCCTTTGGAGGTTATTGGACACATTTCTTCTTGATGTAGTAAACCTTGTGATGACAGAGATTCAGTAGTGTTTCTTTCTTTCAAACTACTCAAATGTTCAGGATCTGAATTCTTAGAATGGACAAGTCCAAGTTCAATCAAATTTTCCTCGTCATCTGTACTTGATTTCACAACTCTCACATCATTCTCACATGAAGAAATAACTTCATCTGCTCCACCACACAAATCCATAAGTACATTCTCACATTTAAGATCCAGGGAGAGAGTTTTCAGAACATCCTGTGCAAGTGGTTTGCAAGGATCAGGAGGCATAGCGGCTTCACACATCCCAGTCCGTTCATACTCTTCCTGTAGAATTATAGATAAATAATGAAGGAAGAGATAACGATAAGAAATTGAAAATATTACATGTTAGAAAGTTAGATTGGCCAAGAGCAAACCTCCCAAATTGGAATGAGTGACTGGACCATTTTGACATCAGAACGGGTTTGCGAGAGAGATGCATACATTATAAATTTTTGATTAACAATGTCTGCAGAACCACAAGCAGTGAACACTTATACAAAAAGAAAAAAAAAAATGAAATAAAATAATTTTAAGAAAAGAAATATGTGTAACATTTAAAGCCAGACAAACCATCTATTTTAGCATCTCCCTCAAGCTCACATACACTTTGACGTTTAATACAGCGAATGTTTTGATCAGATGAACCATCAAGTTCATTGGAAAATTGCCAAAACCAATCACCTGGAATTTTGGAAGACACCCAGAATGGAGAACTTAAAGGTGCACTTTCACTCCCATCTGCCTAATGCAAATTTTTGACAACAAATAATATAAGCATTTAAGCATTCAGTTATGCTTATGTCTATCAGAAAATTATCTGGAACATATAAAAAAACAAAAATCACAAGACTGACCTGAAAATCAGCATTTTTTTGTGTCCACTTATCCATCACCTTTAAATGTTGATTATCGTAATTAAATTTCCTTGGAGAAAAAACATCTGGTACTCTGACGGAACTTCACCTTGACAGATGCAGATGGCTCTTCCATACAAGTTATAGTCAACCTGGAAGGAGAAGCTCAGGAATTACAGATATGATAACGTAAATAAAGAAAAGAAAAAGGGATTTGGATAACCGAAAAGTAAGACTTTGCAAAACATGAGGGTACACATGCACGATCTTGTCAAGATTCAATTAGAAACTGATGTCATCACAACTGAGGCATAAGCAGATTAGAATGCAATGATTTAAAACTCAAAACCTTTATTAAAATGCCATGGTTGACTGCTTTTCTTCTATAATGCTCACAAGTCATTAAGATGGCTCTGCATATGCAAGTAATGAAGTGCTGGGTGGACTAAAATAAAAAGGACATCTTTGCACCCCTATCTACCAAACGCAATGAAATTTGACAATAACAGACAAGGGAGATTCTTGCAACTAAAAAAACTATAACCACCCTGAAACTGCAACAAATTGCAAACACACAGTATAACCATTTCTAACTGTTCAGATTTTGTGGCATAACTTTTTCAAATTTAAGTCTAGACACAATTATCTTCACTTCTAAAATTCTCCAGGCATCCACTTTGAGGATCTCAAAGAAATTGATCGTAAAAACTAGAAAACAGCCAGCAGTCCACCAATAACAACCCCACAATGAACTTCATAAAAAAATCCAGAGTCATTGAAGTATTTAACATATACAACAGGGACAAAATTTTATGTAAAAAACAAGAAGTCTAATAAAATAATAGGAATTAAGAAAAATACTCGATCAATATTAATCATATTCATTAGACATCACCATGAAAATTTAACTCTCAATATTGTAAAAAATATTAAGAATAACTAAAAAAACTCCACCAAAAAGATTTCACATGAAAGGTATTTACCAGAAACTGAAGAAGAAAGGGAATATGAGATTCATGGGCGGCAACTCTTATCAAGAACTGCACCTGCCTGAAAACATTGAGTTACTATGATAAGAGAATAATTTGTTTATAATCTCTCAAAATGAAAATATAAGTGTATCCAAACACAGGAAACAATTTCATGATACTACGGCCAATTAGCTCAACCGAAAATCCACAATCAATTCATCCAACGCACAACTCTAAAGCAAATCTACTCTGTATTTTTTAAAAACACTCAATATGCCCATCATCTAGAGACCACATAAGCAACTAAGCAGCAATTTTCTATTCATAATAAGACCCTCTGCAATATAATCACATCATGTCCACTGTGAAACATAAGAGCTATGACGGGAAGTATACCATACAGTTTAAATCATGAATAAAAATGAAATAATACAGCGAGAGAAAAAAAAAAGAAACATGCCAATAAAAGAGTTTTAAGTTGAAAAACAACCACAAAAAGAAAAGAAAAATGCAGTAAACACTAAAAGTGAGCGGAATGTTCAAGAATTATACCAAAAGAATTAGCAGCACAGAACATCTGTGATAATAGCTTGAAGTTTTGTCAAGGTGTTCAACAACACATAACCCTACAATATCATCAACGAAAAAACAACTCCAGCACAATGCAATACTTATTTCCTTTTTTACCATGCACCCCGCCCCACCCTTCCCTGTGCACACTGAAAAACTAGGATACAGGTATATCTTGACAAATAGCTCTTCTGATGAATGGTAACCATAAAATCTCTTAGCTCGTATAAGGCTGCAACCATAACATGCTGACGATTTGAACCAGAATTACCCTTTGGCTGAGAATTCAAAGCAACATATTCACAACCCATATATGCAATAAGCCAACACAACTAATTACTAGGGAAGAGATATACGTACCTCAAGGCTTTCTCCAATCCAAGAGATATAGCATTCGTAATGCATCACCTACAATCACAAAGAAAATTGTGTTTCAAGCATCATCTTTCCAACTGAAATTTGAATTCAAAACACAACACAAAGTAAAGCCAAATCCAAGTCCATGTTTTACCTTCTGGTCTGATGAAGAGGTATACAGCCCATGGGACATATAAATAGGGTAACCTACAAAAAGAAAAAAAATTCAATAAAATTATTCATCGAAACTATAAAACGCAACTAGTGCAAATCTGTCGCACTCATGAAGTTTAAAATGCCACAATTGAGAACAAAATGAAATTTCAAAGTAAATGCTAAGCGTAGTAACTAACACCATCAATTTACTAAAAAGATCAATAAAATTACTCTTGAACATGCAAGCATGTCTTCTGGCCGGCTGGTGTTGATCCATAAATCCTATAACCGGCACTTCGTCCACCTTCCCGCCTTCATAATTCAAAAAAATATAACAGTATTAAATTTAAAGCTAGACATTCTAATCCTTGAGTAAATAAATTTTTTCAAAAAAAAGGCCATAAATATATAATTGCTAGCATTTATTCAATTTCAATAGACAACAACTCCAGGCATCACGATAACACCACCGGTTAAGTAACATACAGGACAGGCAGAGAAGAAGCAAACTAATCAGAGTGTCTTTCAAGCTACCTTACTGTAGCGGTCTATTAATCTTTTATTTGTACTTTTTCGCGCCAAATGAAACAATCAAAGTGAAGATCAAACGAAAAAAAATAAGCACTGAATATTTATATAAATTAAAAAACGAAGACGTTTCGGATGGAACCTTGAAAGCTACTGTAGCAAATATCGTAGCCAGGAATCGGCGGCGCCATGTGTATCGATGGAGACGATTCGAACCTGAAAACTTTGGAGTCCGGCTGCGAATCCGCCATCGGTTTTCACTTTACTTACAATGATACATACATGAATTAGAGTCTGTGAAGAAGAAATGTTCTTTTACAATTGCTTTGAATTCTTTGGCGCCAGATTTTAGGGCTTTTAAGGCAGAACCGTTCGAAGAACAGAAGATTTCAGTAACTTCTTCTGTACTCAGCTTGATTTGACATACCAAACTTGACTTTCGATATATTTTCAACTTTGCCATTACACTGCAGGCCCAAGCCTCAAGGCATATGGTCCAGCCATTGTTATTTTTTTTTTTATTTGTAACGGGCTGTGGGGCTTCGATTAATCTCAGGTTCCCTTAATATTCAAGGCATCTGGTTCAATCATTGTTAATTTGTTCGAGCTAGTTTACGTACATCTGAACTAATTTTTAGAGTCCCTTAACACCCTACAGTAAAAGGTTCGGATAAGTCCCATATTCCAGGGTCCCTCAAATACCTTACAAGTTCAAAGGACCGAATAAATCACAATGTGAGAAAATTATAATGTAGTAAGTGATCTCAAGATTCAAACCTAAGAAGTCGAGGAAGGAGCAAACCTTCTTGATCGCTAGATCAACTCCTTGGGTTGCCATTGTTAATTATTATACAAAGCAGCTTTACAATTGGCTGAATGACATTTTCACCCCCTACAGAAGTTGTCTCATTCAACCCTTTACATTTTGCATAGTTACTGCTTGATTCATAAAATTACAATAATCCGAAAGCATAGCTAAGATTGAAGCTCTGGATTGAAACACTGTTGGATATCTCTTACCAGTAAGGCCCCCTTCACTAGTAGGATGGAGCAAAGTGTATGGCATTTTGACAGGGCCACGCGGTCTTGAATTTTGGTCATGGTTTCTTGCTAAAATTTATAACTACCCTAAATTACCATCATCCAATGAGTATGCATAAATGTGTGAGGCAGAAACAAGTAGAATCAGAATGCAATTAAAGCGATCCCCGTAAAAAGTATTATGCTAAAAAAGAAAAGATTTAAGCTGGAAGGAGTTTTGCTTTTTGACTTTGAACACAGCCATCTATATAAACAAATTAACAATGTCGATGAATTAGGTTGAAAATGTTATATTAATAGAAAGATAAATAGATTACTTTGAAGATTACTAGAAATGTTTAAGGAAATGTGTTTAGTTATTAGAATACATTGGTGGATATGTTATATTTATATTTGGTGGAATGATATATGTAAGTATGTTATAATGATTTATAAATTGCTTTTTTTATTTTAAATATTGATAAAATATTATTTTATATTATTTTTTAAAATTTCTAAATAAGACGGTTAATACTAAGAGGAAGTGTGATGGTTAATCGAAGTCAAGAAAAAAAAAATGAACGAAGCCAAGATAAAAAAAAAAAATGAACAAAGCCAAGGATGTCGCATAACCGGAAGTGTGATGGGTGTTAATCAAAGCCAAGAAAAAAAAAAAAAAAAAATGAATGACATGAAGCAGCTTTTTGTGTTCTCGTCCTTTTTGTGCACAAAAAGGACGAGAATTCATTTTTTTTTTTTGTGCATCTTGGCATTTTGTGTTCTTTTCCTTTATGTGCATCTTAGCTACTGGTCCAATTTTTTTTTTTTTTTTTTTTGACTTCCATTGACTCCAATGGAGAATGATTAGTTTTTCTATATAAACCCCCCTTCCAAGAAAAAAAAAAATGAATGACATGTCATCATTCATTTGACGAATGAATCCAAGAAAAAAAAAATGAATGACATGAAGTCAGCTTTTTGTGTTCTCGTCCTTTTTGTGCACAAAAAGGACGGAGATTCATTTTTTTTTTTTTTTGTGCATCTTGGCTTTTTGTGTTCTTTTCCTTTTGTGCACTACTACTGGTCCAAATTTTTTTTTTTTTTTTTTTTGACTTCCATTGACTCCAATGGGGAATGATAGTTTTTCTATATAAACCCCCCTTCGCTCAATGAAACAATTTCATAAAAAAAGCCTTAATCCAAACAGAAGCATTCAATTCTTCATACTTGATTTTCTCCTCATCTCTATCCAAATATCATCAGCAATAGAAAGCATGCAATTCTCCATTGATTTAAGGTTCTTCCCTTACCCTCACTAATATTTTCATCTTCTTTCTATTAAGGAAACCCCAACCTGAAAACATTTTTCAATATCCACTTCTATTTATCTTCTCACTTATTCTTGCTCTTTTCTTATTGCTAGTTTTCCTCTTCACACCCATCACACCTTCCTCTTAGTATGACCGTCCCATCTTCTTACGTCCTGGAAAATTTTTCTCTCTTCTAGCTCTGTCACCCTAGCGTCATTCATTTACCACCCTTTCATTTCTTAGTAGCATATTTGTTTCTCATTATCATATCTCCATGTATGCATTATTATGGAGTCTGATTAAACTTTTCTTCACTATCTTCTCACAGTCTACGATCACTTCCTACCCTCTTCATTAATTGGGTCAACCAAACCAAGAAAACTCAGAATCACTCTTTTTCCAATTGAAAGATTGAAGGACTTGAAGTAAGAGGTAACTTAATGGAGCATGATCTGGAGCAAATTGAGATTATAGGTAGTTAGTTCTCTATAGAGACAAGGTGATAGTGGTTACATTGTCATGCTGCTATATTGAAAATCTATTCTAGACTTAATTGTTATTTGAGTTGCTTGTGTTTGTTTTAGTAATTAGTAAGTTACGATAATTAGTTATCTGTTAGTTAATTTGATTTGTACTGACCACTAGGTCCACTACTTGTATTTTATGTTTCTTTTACTATATTATATATATAATAGGAATGTTTTTTACCGATTGGATCAAATTTACGGCGCGGGAAGCTATGCTTGCCGTTGGATTTTGATATATTAGATCTTGGTTAAAACAATAAAAAATATATTCACCGTTGGATTGCTCATATCCAATTAAAAGAAAATCTAGAAAAAACAAAAAATATAAAATGCACTTTTTTTAATAATATAATAAAAAAAAAAAATAAATAAATAACTTTTTCGTGAAGACGAAAGGTCGCACTGTCTTTCCCAATCCCAAACCAGAAAGCAAGTAAAACTTGGTAAAAGAAGAAATTCCCACAATCTGTTTCAGCTTGCTCTCTCTCTCTCTCTCTCTCTCTGATGCGATACCCGTTTACCTTTCTGGTTTTATTTTAGTGGTGGTGTTGTTGCCTTTTCGATCTGGCTGCTCTAACTGTTTCATTTGGCCGCGTTTCCAAACTTGGAGTGTTAGTTCTCTTTCCTCCCTTTTTCTTCTACAGTAGTTTTTTTTTTTGGGTTCAGATTTGGGGTGATCGTAGTTGCGGAAATTGTGAATTAAATTGAAAAGATGCCTCAAAAACAACCCTGTTTGTTTTATAAAATATTCTCAAAGAGGGATGAATTTTCACTGTCTTTGTGAGGGGAGAGTTTATGGACGATTCAAATTCCCCTCTTAAGCTTTCCTCTCTTTACACCCTTCTCTATTTATAGGCATTCTAACTATAGTATCTCTTTGATATATATATGAGGGATTATGTTATTTGATTCGGGTTTTGAGACTTAAATATAGGTTTTTGTTTGTTTGAAGCTCTTAATTAGGTTCTCGTTCGTTATTTATATTTTGAAATTGGAGATAAAGAAGCTAAAAGTGTACCAAACTATTTACAACCATTAATTCCGAGCTTTACACGAGTCATTAATTTTTGAAGCTTGTTTATTCAATATTTCTTTTTGGGCTTGTTAATGATTATTGCATTTTTAATATGCTCTTTTGCGCTAAATAATCTGTGATTTTACCTTATAATTTGTTTTTACGAAATCAGAAATGATAAAACAAAAAGCTTTTGTTTTGCCCACAAACTCGGAAATTCAACATCAAATTTCTCTAAAGTTCTCCGAGATCATATGTATGGTAATATACAGTTCCACAGGCTATGTGTTTATATCATCTCACTTCCTGACTCTGTATTGATCTTTGTGGATTAGGAGAATTTATTTTGAGCTCCACTGTTCAGATTGTTTTTCTCCGGTCTTGAGCTCCACTGCACTCTCTATCCTGGAAATTGTTTGTGTATTTGTGTTGTAATTTGCTGAACAAATCAGCCAATAGTAACTCTGCATCTTGGTTCTACAGCCCTAATTACTCTTTTTGAAGATATAAATTCTGGTGTGAATGAAGTGGATGGAATTTTCAGTGTATACATATGATAGTTACTTTATGCTTAAAATTCTGTTTTGTTCATTGTGGGCGCAGGTTGTATTTGCATCTGTAGGCTATATATAGATATATAATTTTCTTTTGATGGTATATCAGTTTCCTTGAACCAAGTCATTTCATCTTCATTTCAAGTTGCAGCTACTTGAATTATTTATATTGATGGCAATTTTCTGTTTCTGAATGCAAACCCTTCTGTTTTGTTACTCTGTAGTAATCTTGCTGTAAGGGTTAGACAGAAATAAATACCTTTGATTGGATAATCAATAAGAATATATAAATTTTGGGGATTGGGATTCTATGGAGTACTTTGTTTAGATTATGATGTGCTATGGAATGGAATATAATGATATGGTCATGCATTTGATATAATATGAAGATCCTTTGGCTGTATATATGCTTATTAATGGAAATCAGTAAATCACAATGCAAAATTGTTGTAGACTGCAGACATATATTGTTATTGAAGTTGTATCCTTTGGATGAATGACATAAGTGTTGTGTCTAAATAAAAGAAATTCTACCCTGGACTATAATGTGGAAGCACGGTTCCATTTTAAGCTTTAAAGAGATTATGCGTTTGACTGTAATGCCAGAAACGAGGATCCCATCTTACTATCGTATTGCAGGCAGCTATTTCATACAAAATATTCTGTTGTGTCATTATCACAACTTGTTCCAAGCTGCCGTCGTTGTGGTAGAGGTTAATTTTAGGTGGTTTTGAGTCTGGTAGTTTGGTTGATGATGGAGATCAAAATTGTGGTAGGAGAGCTAGTAATAGCAGAACGAAATGCCAGGAAGGTTCGGCAGCTGAGCAGTGGTTGTTTTGAGGAACATTCTGTCAGGATTTGATCAAGTTCATCATATTCAGGAGTTCCCATTTTAGGCAGAATCTGCGGCATATAGTTGGGGCGGTTAGGAAGGAAACCTGCATAAGGGTACTGTCCAAAGTTGACAGCAGCATGGAGACTGAAGCTATCCATATGATTAGGTGCATGTTTCTATCAGCTCTTCGCGTTTCTGCATTTTAGCCACCAAGGCTCATCTTTTTTGTCGCCGTGACCCTCTTCTCGTAGTTCCTTCCACCAGGATGCAGTTCAGAGTCATTTTGCATCATTTCACATAATCTTTCCCATTTTTGGATATCCCATTGTAGTAGTCCCACTTGGAGAAGTTAATTACATAATTATAACTACCCAAATTACCGTCTCCAATGAGTATGCACAGAATGATGTGAAAGCATAAAGAAGAATCAGTGCATATTAAGGCATCCCCGTAAAAAGTATTATGTTAAAAAGAAAAAAAAAATTAAGCTGGGAGGAGTATTTCTCTTTGACTTTGAACACAGCTAGCTATATAAACAAATTAACAGTGTTGAGGAATTAGGTTGAGAATATTATATTGATGTAAAGATAAATAGTTTACTTTGAAGATTATTGTAAATGTTTAAGAAATGTATTTAATTAGTTGTAATACATTTGATATGATATATTCATATACGGTTTAGAGGATATATGTGTAGGTATGTTATAATGATTATTAAATTACTTTTGTTTTTAAATATTGATAATTTTATTTTTTATATTTTTTGAATATTTCTTGATTCATCCTAAGAGTATTTTCATGGGGATAAGCTACACCATTGAGGATGATGTTATAATGATTATTATTACCTTTGTTTTAAATATTGATAAAATATTATTTTTTATTATTTTTGAATAATTTCTCGAGTCATCTTAAGCCTAAGGTTTGTGAAAGAAGATGTTTGTGGGCGAAGTTGTAATGGTGTTTTTATTTATTCACTGGCCCACTTAGCTCAATGTGAGCCACCCTCGGTCAATCAAAAATTTCATAAAAACCTTAATCCCAAACAAAAGCATTCAATTCTTCAAACCAAAACGTCCAAGATCAGCTCCATACTTGATTTCTTCCTCTTCTCATCCAATATCTCAGCAATAGAAACCATGCAATCCTCCATTGATTTGAGATTTCTTCTCTTACCGCTACTAATATTTTCATCTTCTTTCTATTAAGGAAACCCAAGCTAAAAACATTTTTCAATACCCTTTCTATTATCCTCTCACTTATTCTTGCTCTTCTCTATTGCTAGCTTCCTTTTCACACCCATCACACTTCCTCTTAGTATGAGTCGTCCCTCTTGCGTCCTGGAAAATTTTCTCTCTTTTAGCTCTGTCAACCCTTGCATCATTCATTATCACCCTCTCATTTTTTAGTAGCCTATTTGTTTCTCTTATTATATCTCCATGTTATGCATTATTTGGAGTTTGATTAAACTTTTCTTTAATTGCCTTCTTCACACTCTACGATCACTTCCTACCATCTTCATCAATTGGGTCAATCAAAATCAGAAAACCTAGAACCAACTCTTGCTCCAATTGAAGAGATTGAAGGACTTAGTAGAGATAACCTAATGGAGCATGATCTGGAGCAAATTGAGATATAGGTAGTTAGAGTCTCTATAGAGACAAGGTGATAGTGGTTACATTGTCATGCTGCTATATTGAAAATCTAATTCTAGACTTGAAATTGTTTTTTTGAGTTGTTGTTTGTTAAGTATAAGTTATGATAATTGTTATCTGTTAGTATTTGATTTTGTACTGACCACTAGGTCCACTCCTGTATTTTATGTTTTCTTTTACTATATTAATATATATAATAAAGGAATTGTTTTACCGATGGATCAAATTTACGGTTGCTGGAAGCTATGTTTCCGTTGGATTTTGATATATTAATCTTGATTAAAACAAAAAAAAAAATATATTCACTGTTGGATTGCTCGATTCAGATTAAAAGAAAATCTAGAAAAAAAATAATAATAAAAATGCATATTTTAATAATATAATAAGAAAAAAGTATAAATAAATATACTTTTGACTTTTCGTGAAGACGAAAGGTCGCACTGTCTTTCCCAATCCCAAACCAGAAAGCAATAAAACTTGTAAAGAAGAAATTCCCACAATCTGTTCAGCTTGCTCTCTCTCTCTCTCTCTGTGATGGCGATACCCGTTTACTCTTTCTGGTTTTATTTAGTGGTGGTGTTGTTGCCTTTTCGATCTGCTGCTCTGACTGGTTTCATTTGGCCGCGATTCCAAACTTGGAGTGTTAGTTCTCTTTTCTCCCGTTTTCTCTACAGTAGTTTTTTTTTTTTGGTTCAAGATTTGGTCATCATAGTTGCGGAAATTGTGAATAATTGAAAAGATGCCTGGGAAAACAACCCTTGTTGTTTTATAAAATATTCTCAAGAGTGATGAATTTTGACTGTGTTTTGTGAGGGGATAGTTATGGACGATTCAAATTCTCCCCTTAAGCTTTCCTCTCTAGTTACACCCTTCCTATTTAGGCTTTCTAACTGTAAGTATCTCTTGATCTATATTTGAGGGATTATGTTAGTTTGATTCAAGTTTTGAGACTAAAATATAGGTTTTTGGTATTGATTTGAAGCTCTAATTAGGTTCTCGTTGTCGTTATTTATATTTGGGAATTGGAAGTAAAGAAGCTAAAAGTGTACCATACTATTTACAAACCATTAATCTCCGAGCTTATCGAGTAATAATTTTTGAAGCTTGTTTATTCATAATTCTTTTTGGGGCTTGATTATTGCATTTTTAATAATCTGTTCTTTACCCATAATTTGTTTTTACGAAATCAGAAAGATAAAACAAAAGGCTTTTGTTTTGCCACCAAAACTCGGAAATTCGACATCAAATTTCTCTAGAAGTTCTCCGAGAATCAATATGCTGGTAATATCAATTCCAGTTGGCATATGTGTTTATCACCAGTTCCTGACTTTGTATTGGTCTTTGTGGATTAGGAGAATTTACTTTGCTGGCCTCAATGTTATTTTATCATGGACCAAGGAAGAGTCACAACACCTAGTATTGTGGGATTCCGGTGTCTTGAAAATTCAAATCAAGGTTAACTGAAGAAGGCTTATAAAGGAACTGCTATAATGAGTCATCCAATGTGAAGATCCTGATAAGAAAGGTTCTTGCGTCGACTTTTTGTTGAATGTTATGCTATAGGCTATGTGCACTTATTCTATCCGTAAAAACTTCTGGATTTGGTAGTATCATGGTGTTTCAGTTATGCAATGTTTTGGATGAAGATATGCTGTTGAGTTTTTTTTTCATTTCCAGAAAGCTCTGAGACTGAACTTCGAATGCTTAACACTTGACTTTAAATGCACCTAATTAATCAAGTTTCTATTGTGCTATAGTTTGAATAGCTATGTTTTCTCATGGTTGATCTTAATTTTTAGAATGCTTGAGATTGATCAATTGTTAATACCAAGGTCTTCATAAATCATTTCTTTCCATCCTAAAAAATTTTATCTGCTCTTTTCCAGGATATATTTTTCTAGAATTTAAGAACTTTTTTTGTTTCTACAATATTATGCCCTATAGAATTCTCATCTTGGTGTATAATAACATGTCAGATTCATAGAAAATGCTCAGGTCGATCTAACAATTTGGTAATTCTTTTGTGTTAAATGTCAATCCTTAATACAAAATACTTGGTCAAGCATTGGCAAAAATTCAGTTCACACCCTTTCTATGTCCAATTTAAATGGTGATCAGTGCTGCATTGTCAACTGGAAATGAATGATATTAAGCACTCTGGTGAGTGGTTTCAGGTTTGAATGTTCTCTCCATCAATAGGGGGATTCAGTAATCAACTTGAGGATGTTGTTCAACTACAGAGCTTTTACTGACTTCTACTCTGAGTGCCTAGCAGAATAGAGAAAGAATATCTCAACAAGTAACTCTCGTATCTTCTGGATCTTATACCCTTCTCCTGATGTTGGCTTGAAAATTTTGTTTCACAAAAGGCATTTACTGAAAATGTTTTTTTTTCATAAATAATTTGTTTGGTGGGCAACTTATTGTGCATATCAAATTATAATATGTGGGTGGTCGTAGACATGGATGAATGTCTACGCTAAATCTTGCATTGCTCCTCTATACTCTTATTAGGTTTCTTTTTTTATTTTTTTATTTTTTTAATTATATCAGTTTCTGGAATAGACTCTACTTATGTGGTTCTTAGCGGTTATTAATTTATGATTAATGTGGTGAAGTTGCATGTAGAAAAGAAAGGAAGAGCTAGGATCTTTCCTAATCCTTTAAAATGTTTCACTCATTGGTATATACAAACCAAAACTAAAAATCTCAATGCTGTATGGTAAAACTCAATTAAAGAATGTCTCAAATTTTGTTTTGTTTGTATGAATTTCTAATTGGTTTACTTGTTTTTTATGCAGGACCCTATGGAGCTGAGTCCTGAAGAAAAAGAAGCAACACTACTGCTGAGAAACATGCATTGTATAACGAAGTCATTCCCCTCCAACCCAATGCCTTGTCTTCCCCTAAAACAATCTGCTTCTCACCCGAAATCAAGGTGATTGTCCATCCCCCTAGGTAACTTTTAATGTTAGTGCAGTTTGTTTTTTATTTTATTTTACTGCAGTTTGGTCAAGTTAATTGTTTAGTTAGTTTGATGACTTGAGTTAAAACCTGTGATGTGGGAAAACCACTTGTGTTGCTTAGCTTTGGGCCTTAAGAAAATATGTAGGCTGTGTGTTTTCCTTTGTAAGTAGACGAAAAAGGAAAAAAAAAAGGGCTGTAGAAAAGTGCAGAAATGGAAAATCAAAGAGACCAGCGAATAAAGCTAAACTTGTCCACAAATCTCTTCTTTTTAATTTCTCAAATTGTTCCTCTGTGTTCAGTTTTTAGACAACTGTTCAGATTGTTTTCTTCAGGTCTTGAGCTCCACTGCACTCTCTTTTCCTGGAAATTGTTTGTGCATTTGTGTTGTGAAGTTGCTGAACAAATCAGCCAATGTAACTCTGCATCTTGGTTCTACAGCCTAATTACTTTTGCGAAGTTAAATTCCAGTGTGAATGAAGTGGATGGAATTTTCAGTATATACATATGATATGTTTACTTTATGCTTATTTTTTCTCCTTCGTTCTTTTTGTCTCTCGTTTTTTAATTTGTCTTTCTTTTCTTCACTAGGGCCCAATAATCTAATGTTGGATAGTTATTTCTAATACAATTTTGGGGTCAATTATATGACGATCAGAAAATCCAACGGTGCAAGATTTTTGAATAAATCTGTATTACTTGATCCACGTGTTCTTAAAAACTGTGATACCACGTTTAATGGTGGTCAGCTTCTTTGGAAGGTGGTTCTACTTCTCTGGCTGGGGAGTGTGGAGGTTAATGCCTTCGATGGAAATAGGAAGGTAATTTCCTTCTTTTCCTCTACCTTATTGGCCCTTTCATTGATCGCGTAAGCCCTGTGGGATTCCTCTAACCTTTGGCTCTTGAAGTTTTCAAACTGGCAGATATTTCCCATTCGTATTACTTAAACATAAGCAATATAACTACTTCATTTCAATAAAGAATGAATTTTCTGCCTACGGTAACTCATTCACCAGTTCCTGACTTTGTATTGGTCTGTGTGGATTAGGAGAAATTATTTTGCTGGCCTCAATGTTATTCTATCATGGACCAAGGAAGATCACCACCTAGCATTGTGGTATTCTCGGTGTCTTGAAAATTCAAATCAAGGTTAACGAGAATGCTATAGGAACTGCATAATGAGTCATCCAACAAATTTGAAGATCCTGATTTTTGTTGAATATATGCTATAGCCTATCCGTCACTTATCTATCATGTAAAACTTCTGGATTTCAAATAATGGAAGACTTTACGAAGGCATACAGTTGGGAAGTCTATCATTAATCAAGCTTAATCGAATTTTACTTTGATAAACTTCCCTAATGGAGTTTTGCTCTCGACTTTGAACACAGCCAGCTATATAAGCAAATTAAATAATGTTGAGGAATTAGTTTTCATGCGTGGTTTTTTCTTCTATTGTGTCTGGGGACTGGGATGGGTTGCACTTATCTGGCTGGGGAGGGTGAAAGTGAATACCTTCGATGGAAATTGGAAGCATTTTCTTTGTTAATGAGAATTACCTTCCTATTCCATTTACAGAACTAAAACTTATATATATAAGGCAACCGAAATTTCGAGCTGAGGGCTTAGTCGATCAATCTTTTGTCTTTGCAGTTACAGCATGCTTCTCCTTTGATTGAGATTTTTTTTCCCACCCCTGCAAAAAAATTCATCTCTTTCTATTAATGATACCGCAACATAAAAACTATCGATATCCATTTTTATTTATCTGTTATTGATTCTTGCTCTTCTTTTATTACTATCTTTGTCTTTTCACACCCATCACACACTCCCTCTTAGTATGATTCTGCCAATCTTCTTGCGTCCTGAAAAATTTCTCTTCTCCTATTTTTGTCCATCAGCATCGTTCGTTTTACCACTATCACATTTCTTTGTAGCCTATTGTTTCTCATTATCACACTCCCATGCATGCACTACTATGAGTCTAATTAAACGTTTCTTCAATTGGCTTCTTTACACTTTACATCATCACTTCTACCATCTTCATCACTTGGGTGAACTAAAACCAAGAACCCAGAACCAGCTCTTGCTACATTGAAAGATTGAAGGGCTTGAAGTAGGAGTAACTAATAAAGCATAATCTAGAGCAAATTGAGATTATAGGTAGTTAGTGTCTTGTGGAGACGGTGTGGTGGTTACTTTGTCATGTTTGCTATATTGAAAATCTATTCTAAACTTTTCGATTAGTATAAATGTGGTACAAAGGTTGAAACTGCAACTTATTTTAAGTTGTCATTATTTGTCCATTAGTTTATTTACTACTTGTATTTCCTCCTCTTTTACTACATTAATTAATATAATAGAATTGTTTTATATGTTTATCATCCCCTCGATTTGATCATAAACTATCAAAATTTTATTATAGGGTATTTAGTAAATAAATATATAAAGTATTTTTGTTATTTTTAAATCTTACAATCATTAACTACTCAATTTTACTTTTTTAAAATATTATTTTAAAAAAATATCAGAATAATAACCAAGTGCACCATAATTTTTTTTTTTTTTTTTAAACGGAGTGTTCAGGCAGTTTGCATATACTTCGATTAATCTTCAGGTTCCTTTGAACACTAAGACATCCTAGTCCACCATTGTTAATTTGTTTTTGGTTTTTTTTTTTTTTTTTTTAGTAACGGGGGTGTCTGGCTACTTGTCTGCACCACAACTAATCTCCGAGTCCTTGAATACCCTGTAAGTCCAAATGATCGAGTAATTCTCACATTCCGGGGTTCTTTGAACCCTTATAAGTCAAAGGACCATATAAGTCACAATGTAAGAAAATTATAAGTGTTGTAAGTGGTCTCAATATCAAACCTAAGAAGTCAAAGAGGGAGTAAACCTTCTTGACCGTTAAATCAACGCCTTGGATTGCCACTGTTATTTATTATATACAAAGCAGTGCTTTACAATTGGCTGAATGACATTTTCATCCACTATCACGATTTGTCTCATTCAACCCTTTACAATTTGTATATGTTACTGCTTGATTCTAAAATTACATAATCCGAAAGCATAGCTAGAGATTGAAGCTCTGGATTGAAACACGTTGTTGGAATCCCTTTACCAGTAAGGCCACCTTCACTAGTAGGATGGAGCAAAGTATACGGCATTTTTGATAGGGCCAACGCGGTTCTTGAGAGTTTGGTCATGTTTCTTCGCTAAATTTATACTACCCTAAATTACCATCATCCAATGAGTACGCACAGAATGATGTGGAAAGCAGAAACAAGTAGTCAAATGCAATTAAGGCATCTTCTAAAAAGTATTATGTTAAAAAAGAAAAAAAATTAAGCTGGAAGGAGTAATTTGCTCTTTGACTTTGAACACAGCCATCTATATAACAAATTAACAATGTCGAGGAATTAGGCTAAAATATTATATTAATGGAAAGATAAATAGATTATTTTGAAGATTACTGAAAATTTTAGAAAAATGTATTTAGTTAAATTGAATATATTTGTGGATATTTAATATTCATATTGGGTTGGGAAGATATATGTAGGAGTTATAATGATTATTAAATTGCCTTGTTTTTAAATATGACAAATATTATTTTTATTATTATTTTTGAATAATTTATAGGACGGATGCAAAAGGAACGGCTCATATTAAGAGGAAGTGTGATGAGTGTGAAGAGGAAAATAGTAATAAGAGAAGAGCAAGAATTAATCCAGGATCATATGAAATGGGTACGAAGAATATTTTCGGCTTGAGGTTTCTTTAATAGAAAAAATAAAAATATCTATTAGCGTTAAAGGAAGAAACCTTAAATCAATGGAGTATTGCATGCTTTCTATTGCTGATGATGTTTGGATGGAGATGATGAGAAATCAGGATGGAGCTAATCTTGGACCTTTTTGGTTTGAAATTGAATGCTTTTGTTTGGGGTTGAGGCTTTTATGAAATTGATTCATGAGTGGGAATTGAGACTAAGTGGGCCCTAATGAAGTCACCTGCACATCCAAACTTGTCAACAATCTTGTCAGTTTGTGTTGTGTGCAGGTGCCACAAACACAACTGAGACTAAGTGACACAACCAACTAACTAAGTGGGCTCTAATGAGTCACCTGCACACAACACAGCACACAAGTTTGTGTTGTGTGCGTGACTTCATTAGGGCCCACTTAGTCTCAATTCACACTATAAATTCCCCTCCACTCATTGAATCAACTTCATAAAAGCCTCTTCAAACAAAAGGGTCCAATATCAGCTCCATACTGATTTCTTTCTTACTCATCCAAACATCATCAACAATAAAAAGCATGCAATTTTCCATTGATCTGAGGTTTCTTCCCTTACCGCTACTAATATTTTCATATTCTTTTATTAAGGAAACCCCAATCGAAAACATTCTTCAATATCTATTTCTATTATCTCTGTCACTAATTCTTGCTTTCTCTTATTACTAGTTTTCTCACACCTATCACACTTCCTCTTAGTATGAGTCATCCCATCTTCTTGCGTCCTGAAATTTTCTCTTCTTCTAGCTCTGTCAACCCTTATGTCATCATCCTACCACCCTCTTATTTCTTAGTAGTCTATTTGTTTTCTCATTATTATATCTCCATGTTATGCATTACTATGGAGTCGATTAAACTTTTCTCAACTACCTTCTTAACTCTACTTCACTTCCTACCATCTTCATCATTGGGTCGATCAAAACCAAGAAAACCCAGAACTACTCTTGCTCCAATTGAAGAGATTGAAAGATTTGGAGTAGAAGGTAACCTAATGGAATATGACCTTGAGCAATTGAGATTATAGATAGTTAGTGTTTCTGTAAGACAAGGGTGATAGTGATTACATTGTCATGCGGCTATATTGAAAATCTAATTGTAGACTTTTCAATTATTATCCATGTGGTACAAAGGTTGAAACTACCAGTTCTTTTTGAATTGCTTCTGTTGTAATAATTAGTCAATTATGACATAGTTATTTTTTAATTAGTTTGGTCACACATTACTTGTATTTTTTTTCTTTTACTATAATAAAGGAATTGTTTTTTACCATTGGATCAAATTTACGGTTACTGAAAGTTATGTTTGCGTTGGATTTGATATATTAGATCTTGGTGTAAAAAAAAAAATTATATTCACCGTTGGATTGATCATATTCAAATTAAAAGAAAATCAGAAAAAAAATAATAATAAAAATGTACTATTTTTAATAATTAAGAAAAAAAATAAATAAATTATTTTTTCGTGAAGTCGAAAGCGCACAGTTCACTGCTCTCTTTCCCTATCCCAACCAGAAGCAAGTAAAACTTGGTAAAAGCAATACCCACAATCTGTTTCAGCTTGCTCTCTCTCTCTCTCTGATGGGATACCCTTTTACTCTTTCTGGTTTTATTTTAGTGGTGGTGTTGTTTCTTTTCGATCTGGCTGCTCTGACTGGTTTCATTTGGCCGCGATTCCAAACTGGAGTGTTAGTTCTCTTTCTCCCTTTTTCTTCTACGTAGTTTTTTTTTTTTTGTTCAAGATTTGGGTCTCGTAGTTGCGAAACGTGAATTAAATTGAAAAGATGCCTGGCAAAAACACCCTTGTTTGTTTTATAAAATTTCTCAAGGAGGGATGAATTTTCACTGTGCTTTGTGAGGGGAGAGTTTATGGACATTCAAATTCTCCCTCTAGCTTTCCTCTCTAGTTACTCTCTTCTCTATTTAGGCTTTCTTACTGGAATTATCTCTTTGATCATATTTGAGGATTATGTTAGTTTGATTCATTTTGAGACTAAAATATAGGTTTGTGTATGATTGAAGCTCTTAATTTAGGTTCTCGTTCGTTTATTTATATTTTGGAAATTGGAAGATAAGAAGCTAAAAGTGTACTAAACTATTTACAAACCATTAATCTCCAGCTTTACTCGAGTCATAATTTTTGAAGCTTTGTTTATTTCAATAATTCGTTTTGGGGCTTGATTATTGCATTTTTAATATGCTCTTTTGCGCTAAATAATCTGTGATTTTACCTTATAATTTGTTTTTACGAAATCAGAAATGATAAAACAAAAGGCTTTTGTTTTGCCACCAAAACTCGGAAATTCAACATCAAATTTCTCTAGAAGTTCTCCGAGGATCAATATGCATGGTAATATACAATTCCAGTTGGGCATATATGTTTATTCACCAGTTCCTGACTTTGTATTGGTCTTTGTGGATTAGCAGAATTTATTTTGCTGGCCTCAATGTTATTCTATCATGGACCAAGGAAGAGTCACAACACCTAGTATATTGGGATTCTCGGTGTATTTAAAATTAAAATCAAGGTTAACTGAAGAAGGCATATAAAGGAACTGCTATAATGAATCATCCAAGTCCAACAAATGTAAAGATCCTGATTTTTGTTGAATATTATGCTATAGGCTATGCGTTACTTATTCTATCACGTAAAAGCTTCTGGATTTGGTAGTATGTTGTGTGTATTAATGCATTGTTTTTGATGTATAAATCACTACAGTCACCTACTCTGAATGCTTAAACTAGTTGATGTTGAGCAGTCCAGAGTGCCGATATGGCACCGTGTTTCAATTATCCTCCAAGGTAACTGTTAATGTTAATATGCAGTTTAGTTTTTATTTTATTTTTACTACTGTTTAGTCAAGTTAATTGTTTAGTTAGTTTTATTAACTTGAGTTAAAACATGTGATATGGGAGAAACCACTTGTTGGCTTAGCTTTGGGCCTTAAGAAAATATATAAGGCTATGTGTTTTACTTTGTAAGTAGACTAAAAAAAAGAACAAGAACAAAGGGCTGTAGAAAAAAGTGCAGAAACGGAAAATCAAAAGACCAGCAAATAAAGCTAGAAGTCTAGAACTTCTCCACAAATCTTCTTCTTTTAATTTCTCAAATTGTTCCTCTGTGTTCGGTTTTTAGAGAACTTTTCAGATTGTTTTCTTCAGGTCTTGAGCTCCACTGCACTCTCTTTTCCTGGAAATTGTTTGTGTATTTGTGTTGTGAAGTTGATGAACAAATCAGCCAATAGTAACTCTGCATCTTGGTTCTACAGCCCTAATTACTCTTTGTGAAGATATTAAATTCTGGTGTGAATGAAGTGGATGGAATTTTCATTATATACATATGATATGTTTACTTTATGCTTAAAGTTCTGTTTTGTTCATTGTGGGCGCAGGTTGTATTTGCATCTGTATGGGNTCAATGTCAACATGTGAAACATAGGAAGCTATGACAGGGAAGTATACCATACAGTTTAAATCATGAATAAAAATGAAATAACACAGCAGAGAGAAGAAAAAAAACAAGAAACATGCCAATAAAAGAGTTTAAGTTAAAAAACAACCACAAAAAGAAAATAAAAAAAGAGAAAAGAAAAATGCAGTAAACAACTAAAAGTGAGCAGAATGTTCAAGAATTCTACCAGAAGGAGATTAGCAGCACGAGAGACATCATGTGGATAATAGCTTGAAGTTTGTCAAGGTGTTCAACAACATAACTTTAGAATATCATCAACAAAAAAACAACTCCAGCTCAATGCAATACTCATTTCCTTTTTTACCATGCACCCCGCCCCACCCTTCCCTGTGCACACTGAAAAATTAGGATACAGGTATATCTTGACAAATAGCTCTTCTGATGAATGGTAACCATAAAATCTCTTAGCTCGTACAAGGCTGCAACCATGAACATGCTGACGATTTGAACCAGCATTACCCTTTGGCTGCGAATTCAAAGCAACTATCTTCACAACCCATATATACAATAAGCCACACAAACTAATTACTAGGGAAGAGATATGCGTACCTTCAAGGCTTTCTCCAATCCAAGAGATATAGCATTCGTAAATGCATCACCTACAAAAATCAACAAAGAAAAAATTGAGTTTCAAGCATCATCTTTCCAACTGAAATTTGAATTCAAAAGCACAACACAAAGTAAAGCCCAAATCCAAGTCCATGTTTTACCTTCTTGGTCTGATTGAAGAGGTATATCAGCACAGGGGCATATAAATAGGGTAAAGCCTACAAAAAGAAAAAAAAATTCAATAAAATTATTCATCGAAACTATAAAACGCAAACATAGTGCAAATCTGTCGCACTCATGAAGTTTGAAAATGCCACAATTGAGAACAAAATGAAATTTCAAAGTAAATGCTAAGCGTAGTAACTAACAACATCAATTTACATAAAAAGATCAATAAAATTACTCTATGAACATGCAAGCAAGTCTTCTGGCCGGCTGGTGTTGATCCATAAATCCTTATAACAGGCACTTCGTCCACCTTCCCGCCTTCATAATTCAAAAAAATATTAACAGTATTAAATTTAAAGCTAGACAATTCTAATCCTTAAGTAAATAAAATTTNCCCCAACCAAACACACCTTGATAAATAACCAACTTTCATAACTAACTGAATTACTACAATAAGAACAGTAACTCCAAATAACTACCAGTTTCAACCTTTGTACCACTTGTACTAATTGCAAAGTCACGAATTAGACTCTCAATGTTGCAACGTGAAAAATTAATCATCACCTTATCTTTACATAGATACTAACTACCTATTTACAAATCTCAATTTGCTCCAGATCATTCTCGATTAGATTACCTCCTGCCTCAAGTCCTTCAATTTCTTCTGATCTTGGACATTTTAGGTTTGAAGAATTGAATGCTTTTGTTTGGGGTTGAGGTTTTTAATGAAATTGATTCAATGAGTGAAGGGTGTTTTATATCGAGAATTGAGAGGAAGTTGGCCTGGGCTAATGGAAACCGCAGCGAAGGCTTGACAAAAAGAGGTTGAACGACTTACACCTACCCAAGGTTTGGCGAAACGATGATTGGTATCCAAAAGGTTTGAAAATGACAAACAGGTACCTTCTGTCATGTGTTGTTAGTGATTTCCGTTTGCTAATGGTGAAAAGACTAGAATGCCCTTTGAGAAATATGAGTGTATTTTTTAATTATTTTTAGACCCCTTAAGTTTATTAATTTCAAAAATACCCCCAAAAAAGTTTAAAAATTAACAAAAATACCCCCACCCGCCCATACTTGCCAGATTCTGGCAGTCACCGCCTGTGGTAGAGGAAATTTGTCACAATGATATACACCACCACCAGGAATGGCCGGTAATTCAGTGATCTAACCGGAAAGCGACGGCCAAATCTTGGCCATCGTTGACAGACAACGACGGCCAAAGATGGAGTTTTGCGGCCGTCGACTACCAGATCTGGCCTTAGATCTGGCATTTTTTGACCAGATTTCTGGCGGTGGTGGCCGAAATCTGACACTGCAGGTGGTGGTGATGTTTTTGTCATTTTATAAAATTTTTATATATTTGGGTGTTTAGTTAAATTAGCAAACTTAGGGGATTTTTTAAAAAATTTTAAATTTATAAAAAACTAAAATATCAAACTTTCAAGGGCATTCTAGTCTTTTCACCATTAGCAAACGGAAATCACTAACAGCACATGACGAAAGATACTTATTTGTTGTTTTTAAACTTTTTGAGTACCAATTATCGTTTGGTCAAACCTTAAGTAGGTGTAAGTCATTTTCTGACAAAAAGACGAAAAAGTACTTATGCAGACAGAGTCGATATGCCCTTCCTTGATGACTAAATGGTAGATATGCCCTTGATGACTTGGCGATTATGAGAACAAAGTTGATGGTTCTTGTGTAAATATGACAGAAGTTTATGGATAAGAGAGTACTTGTATCTGTCGACTGCCGTCGTCGAAAAGAATGGCGTCAAGATGAAAGAATGACTTGCATGACTTGTATATACATAAAAGAGTAATGTTACATTTACACCATTTTCATTACATTATGATGTGACACTTGTCACAACCATACAAATTTTTAATTATTTTAAAATTTTAATATTATAATAGAATTTGTGTGGTTGTGACATATGCCACATCATAATGTAATGAAAATTGTACAAAAGAGTGGTGTAAATGTAGCATTATTTATACATAAAATGTGTTATTTTATCAACTCTATTAGTGCTTTATATAGGATAGTGGTGGAGACGGGAGAGGGGTCCTTCCCTGATTCTCCTTCTCATAATCATACATGTCCATGTCTGCATTTTTTTTTTTTTTTTTTTAAATCCCAGGATATAAAATATTATCAAATTATGGGAAGCATTTTACTTTAATTGGACCATGCAAATCCGATGGAATGGTAACAATTTTGATTATCTTCTTGGTAAGATTTGTGAAAGAGAATCATTGTCCAATGAGGTAAATTTTAAACTAGTAATAAAGTCAATAAGTTTGAAATCAAATAATAATAATAATATGAATAAATTAGATTAAAAAAAGAAGTTGTTGGTTTAAAAAATATATATATATATTCAAAGGAAGCCAGAAAAATAGTATAATATTGGGATTTGGGCGGAGTGGGGTAGTGGGTTAATAAGATCACAAACAGTGACCATTTAGAAAAATATAATATGTGCTCGAAAAGTACAGGTAGCCCTGAAAACGGGTGGTTGTTTCGTCCGTTAGTGCCGTGAAACAAAGTTCTATAAATTCCCCTTCACTCATTGAATCAATTTCATAAAAAGCCTTAACCCTAAACAAAAGCATTCAATTCTTCAAACCAAAAACGTCCAAGATCAGTTCCATACTTGATTTCTTCCTCATCTCTATCTATCCAAATATCATCAGTAACAGAAAGCATGCAATTCTCCATTGATTTGAGGTTTCTTCCCTTACCGCTACTAAATATTTTAATCTTCTTTCTATTAAGGAAACCGCAAGCCGAAAACATTCTTCAATACCCATTTTTATTTATCCTCTCACTTCTTCTTGCTTTTCTCTTATTGCTAGTTTTCCTCTTCACACTCATCACACTTCGACTTAGTATGAACCATCCCATCTTCTTGCGTCCCGGAAAATTTTCTCTTCTTCTAGCTCTGTCAACCCTAGCGTCATTCATTTTACCACCTACTCATTTCTTAATAACCTATTTGCTTCTCATTATCATATCTCCATGTTATGTATTACTATGGAGTCTGATTAAACTTTTTTTCAACTACCTTCTTCACACTTTACGATCACTTCCTACCATCTTCATCAATTGGATCAATCAAAACCAAGAAAACTCAGAACCAGCTCTTGCTCCAGTTGAAGATATTGAAGGACTTGAAGTAAGAGGTAATGTAATGGAGCGTGGTCTGGAGCAAATTGAGATTATAGGTAGTTAGTGTCTTTGTAGAGACAAGGTGATAGTGGTTACTTTGTCATGCTGCTGTATTGAAAATCTAATTCTAGACTTTTCAATTAGCATACACGTGGTACAAAAGTTGAAACTACCTGTTCTTTTGAGTTGTTGTTGTTGTTTTAGTAATTAATTAGCTATGATAGTTAGCTACTTGTTAGTTAATTTGATTTTGTACTGACCACCACTTGTATTTTGTGTTTTTTTTACTATATTAATATATATAATAAAGAAATTGTTTTTTCCGATTGGATCAAATTTACGGTTACTGGAATCTATGTTTGCCGTTGGATTTTGATATATTAGATCTTGGTTAAAAACAATAAAAATTATATTCACCGTTGGATTGCTCATATTCAAACTAAAAGAAAATCTAGAAAAATAAATAAATAAATAATAAAATATACTTTTTCGTGAAGACGAAAAGTCGCACGCTCTTTCCCAATCCCAAACCAGAAAGCCAGTAAAACTCAGTGGAAGAACGAATAGCCACAATCTGTTTCGGCTTGCTCTCTCTCTCTCTCTCTCTGACGGTGGTACCCGTTTACTCTTTCTGGTTTTATTTCAGTGGTGGTGTTTTTGCCTTTTCGATCTGGCTGTTCTGACTGGTTTCATTTGGCCGCGATTCCAAACTTGGGGTGTTAGTTCTCTTTTCTCTCTTTTCTTCTACAGTAGTTTTTTTTTTTGGTTCAAGATTTGGGTGATCGTAGTTGCGGAAATTGTGAACTAGATTGAAAAGATGCCCGGCAAAAGCAACCCTTGTTTGTTTTATAAAATATTCTCAAAGAGGTATGAATTTTCACTGTGCTTTGTGAGGGGAGAGTTTATGGACGATTCAAATTCTCCCTCTTAAGCTTTCCTCTGTAGTTACTTTCTTCTCTATTTATAGGCTTTCTAACTATAAGTATCTCTTTGATATATATTTGAGGGATTATGTTAATTTGATTCGAGTTTTGAGACTTAAAATATAGGTTTTTGTGTTGATTTGAAGCTCTTAATTTAGGTTCTCGCTCGTTATTTATATTTTGGGAAATTGGAAGATAAAGAAGCTAAAAGTGTACCAAACTATTTACAAACCATTAATCTCCGAGCTTTACACGAGTCATTAATTTTTGAAGCTTGTTTATTCAATATTTCTTTCTGGGGCTTGATTATTGCATTTTTAATATGCTCTTTTGCGCTAAATAATCTGTGGTTTTACCTTATAATTTTTTTTTTACGAAATCAGAAATTATAAAACAAAAAGCTTTTGTTTTGCCACCAAAACTCGGAAATTCAACATCAAATTTCTCTAGAAGTTCTCCGAGGATCAATATGTATGGTAATATACAATTCCACATAGGCATATGTGTTTATTCACCAGTTCCTGACTCTGTATTGATCTTTGTGGATTAGGAGAATTTATTTTGAGCTCCACTGTTCAGATTGTTTTCTTCAGGTCTTGAGCTACACTGCACTCTCTTATCCTGGAAATTGTTTGTGTATTTGTGTTGTGAAGTTGCTGAACAAATCAGCCAATAGTAACTCTGCATCTTGGTTCTACAGCCCGGATTACACTTTTTGAAGATATAAATTCTGGTGTGAATGAAGTGGATGGAATTTTCAGTATATACATATGATATGTTTACTTTATGCTTAAAATTCTGTTTTGTTCATTGTGGGCGCAGGTTGTATTTGCATCTGTACAGGCAATATATAGATAACATAATTTTTCTTTTGATGGTATATCAATTTCCTTGAATCAAGTCATTTCATCTTCATTTCAAATTGCAGCTACTTGAATTATTTATATTGATGGCAATTTTCTGGTTCTGAATGCAAACCCTTCTGTTTTGGTTACTCTGTAATAACCTTGCTGTAAGGGTTAGACAGAAATAATAATAACCTTTGATTGGATAATCAATAAGACTGTATAAACTTTTGGATGGGATTCTATGGAGTACTTTGTTTATATTATGATGTGCTATGGAATGGAATTATAATGATATGGTCATGCATTTGATATAATATGAAGATCCTTTTGGCTGTATAATATGCTTATTAATGGTA